GACCTGATCGATAGAGTCTATAAGGTTATTTACAAAGATAGATAGCAAAACTGCAACCTGCATTTCACGAACAACTTATAAGCAGGTAAAGTTTGTAATGGTGCATTAGGGTGGAGGCTCGGTGGTGAGCTGTGAAGCATAAGCGAGGAATCGCATACGTCGAATCGAGTCGTGGTGGTTCGACGACTCGATTCGACGTATGCGATTCCTCGCTTATGCTTCACAGCTCACCACCAAGCCTCCACCCTACTGCACCATTACAAACTTTACCTGCTCATAAGTTGCTTGTGAAATGCAGGTTGCAGTTTTGCTATCTATATTTGTAAATAACCTTATAGACTCTATCGATCTACCCAGGTCTCCATTCAAAGTTCCATGGTAAGTTGGCGGACTTCCCTGGTGAGGTACGAGTGTTCTTACGAAATTATGTAACGGCACTTGTTGGGGTCTATAGCGCCGAAACTGGACCAACATAGTAAGACTGTTTCTGTTTCTAGAGTTTCTATAGCAACAATGAAATCCTGCACAATGAGCCGGCAATTCAGTGAATAAATTTGCACAAAAGGGTAAAAAAAGGTGAAACAGACTAAATGGTAAACATACACTCGTATGGCGCGAGTGTTGAGCGCCTTCATACTGCACATGGTGGGCAGGGCGACGTCGGCTTTGCACCTGACTGGTTGAGTTGAGCCATCTCAAATGGTCCAGAAGTCCTTCTCGGCTTTCCCAATCTCTAGCAACTGGTGGATGGCAGTGCTCACAAAGAAATCGCACCACAGCTGCAGTGCTTACTGCTATCAACTGCACAGCGCTTAGACGATGTCCACATTCGGGACAGAACCGGAACAGCGTTACCAGAAAGACCACCGTGAACGAGGTAATACCTCTGCAACTCATCACTATTCGTCTGTTCAATGAGTTGTGACTCTGCCGCTGAGCTACTGCCATTGGCCTAAAATTACTTTCATAAGTAGTACAACAGAGCAATATCTGCGCTTTCCTCACTCACGTACCATGTCGACGCCATCTTCAGCGCCCAATTCGTCTTCAGCCTTTGACAGAGGCGGAGGCCCATCTGTGTCAATGTTGGGTACAGCCTTCTCTGACTCATCCTAAACTTCAGATTACAGGAAAATACAAAAGAGACAGCGAAAACAGCAGTACAGTACTATGGAATGACATTACCTATACGAAACAAAACTTAATGAAAAAAACAGAATGGCAGTTTTACCTTTTTGAACCACCGTCCGACTTAGAAGAAATGTAAAAATGGACAAGAAGGTCGCCTCCTGGAACAGGCCCCCTATTCCTGCCGTTTTCCATGTATCTTACGTCGGATCGTGGGTCAAACAGGTGGATTTACTATTCCGTTTATGTTTATAATTCTTCAACACACACGCGTTTACTTTTAGGCAAGTAACCCGTTCAGGTGCTATATAGAAGAAGTACAAGACAACCATAACTTGCCGCGCCTTCGCGCGCGATGCATGGAGCGGCGGTGCGTGGAAATTCTCGTTGTACATCACTTTGTCTATTGAAGCAGCGAACTCATGGGAATTCAAGCGAAGGCAGGACAAGATTGTCTCTACACAGCCTTTTAGCATTAAAATTAAACGATCGCGAAGGAGAACTTGTCTGTAACATACGCGGCGTCGCTCACCACGCCACATTACGATTCTCTTCTCGCATACCCGAGTTATAGTTCGTGGTAGCCACTCCTACAGAACAGTTTGCGTCCACGTGGTCTATAGCGAAAATCATTTACCAACCTCCTCCTGATAATCTGAAGGCCAAGCAGTAGTTCCGTGATACTTCATCAATGCGCCGTTCACGAAAGTCCACACATCTCGAGCGGTTACGACTTCTTTCTCAAAATTCCACTCTTATAACGAACAAAAGGTTGAACTATACATGGTAAAGCTTACGCTGCTCGTTCCGTTGATCACTTCCACAAGATGTGGAGGGATATCCGCAGTGGTAAAATATGCTGAGGCTTTTCTTCCTTTGAGATCAGTATCGTAAGAGAGTCGCCCTCCACTTATTGTCACTTCAGCACATAAGTACTGGGCCTGTTCATAAAAATAAAAGAGATTACTGTGCGGTGCTAAGAAATGTCTCCTAAACTTACCGCTCGTACTACGTGGGAATGACAAATATATATCTTATCTCTGCTAATGTTATCAACCAGTAGAGTCAACATTCTGTTTGTCTACAACTCCGAGAAATGAAAGCGACGCCACCAGGATAAGGTTTGGCTGCTTCTTTTTGTACAATCGCTTCATGGCCTTAATACTGGATACTCGACCACAAATAGAACAGCTTCTCCTCATGTTGCTTGTAACCTGAAATTGCAAACCCACTTATCTGGCTTGGAT